TGGAAAACAGTTGTTATTAACATTGATGTCAACAACATCAAAAATGTTTGTGGAGTTTGAGTAGTCCTGCTACTGGAAATTGATCCTAATTAAAGAATGGAAAACATTATATATTATTTGGATGAGGTGTTCTTTATAGTGTAACTCCCAAGCCTAGATACTTTCAGAATTACCTGGGTTGCTTCTTAAAAATGCATCACCAGAAATTCTGACTCACTAGGTCTGGAATGATGCTTAATCTTAATCTATATGTTTATTAAACATACTAGATGATTCTGATTACAGTTGTTTGTGTACCTTGCAACTATCAGCATACTCTAAATGTCCAATTAATAATGGCTTAGCAAATTACGGTATTTATACTTAGTGAAGAATATTATACAGCTTATAGAAACTTCTTTTTTTAATTAAAGGGAAAGGTACAAAGTTTTATCTATTAATTACAACTAGGCAAAATAGACATGGGATAGGGGACGGGACGGGAAGAAAATGGGAAATGAAAGCAACTAATCTTGTTGAACTATCAGAATTAATAAGAGATTTCATTTCCTTTTTTTAAAATCTCATGTGCATTGCTATATTTATGTAATTTCTTTCAAAGTAAATTTGAAATTGTTTTCAACTTTTTTTCAGGCATGTTACTACCAGATCCAGCGTGAGAAGCTTAATTAGGCTGCATAACAGCTTGGCAACTGGATTATCTATACAGAGTGTTACAGCACCATCTGGCGTTTTCCTGTAGTGGCAAAAAAGAATGGTCTTGAAATTAGGACATTGTGTTATTTTGGTTGTTATTTCTGAGCCTTACTAATGATAAGAGCCCTGAGTCCAGGAAAAAAGACTATACAGTTTAAAGGGAGGATTGAAAAAGAGGTAGAAATCAGATTAGACCAGTCCCTGGTCTATGTTCAGTTCCCAAAATATCATCCGCCCACTGTTTGGAAAAAGAGGGTATCCTTCCTACAGTAAAGGGTACACCCAGCTCCATGACATTGTAAGAAAAGTTCTTAGTATAGCCTCTTACATTCAAGAAGTGGATGGATATTTTTGAATTTCTGATTTGCCTGCAGTTACCCCAGACCCATTCACAAGGAGCAGATTATACTTGAAACTACAGTGGCCACACTATGCCTTGTTGAACTCCTTGCAATCATGTGTGCATCATGCTTCTCTCCTGAGGGAGGGGAAAGAGGAATTTTAAACCGCAGTTTAAACTTTTTCTAAGCTTTTCCACCAGGGTATTCGCGATGGGAGAGGTTCAATGTCGTGACTACCACATCGCAACCCCAAACATGGAATGCATCCAAATAGGAGTATTCTGCCTCCTGATTGAAAGAACATAGGAATTTTGTTCTTGGCTTTCTCACAGTACTGCAGAGTGAATACACTGGATTTCTAACACTGACTCTGAGCTGCTATGGAACCTCATTTGTCCACGTGCAAACGCTGTATCCCAGGGCCTGTGAACGAGAGCCTGAAGGGCTTTTTGCATGCAGGCCGTGCTTTGGAGCAGGACAAAAGACCAGGAGATAGGAAGCGAAGAACTGCACCCATCCTTGATCTTGTGTTGTGGTTCTTCCCTATACCTCGCATTGAACTCTCAGAGGGGAAGAAAAAGGAAACAAGCTTTGGCTTTTTCCATCTCACAAGGATTGTGACACTTCAACATTTTAGGGTTTTGCTTCTTTTTTTTAAATGTCCTGTTGTAGGTGGTTGGTTTATACTGTACAAGTAACACTAGTAGCTGTTTTGAATAACATAGGTGCTCTTCCCCATCTCATCTACACACCGTGGTGAGCATACAGACTGATTCAGGCTAACATCAGCAGATGTTAATCAATTTTGAAAAAGGATCATGGTTTCCGCTCTACTTTATAATCAAGACAAGTGTTTATTAAAATATTGTTTTGGAATGTTGGCTGTAATGTAACAGCAATTTTCATAATAAAAGACATTCATCTTTATGAGGTTTTTTGTTTTGTTTTGTTTTTAAGAATTTTTTTAATTGGGGAATTGGAGGATGGGAACAGCGCTGGGGATTTGGGGGAAAGGGAACAGACAAGTTGCTGTCGTTTTGTTCTTCAGTCTAGTTGTGGAGGATGTTGCTTCACTGGTCCAAGTTGGCACCATCATTGCGCTCTTCCCGGGTGAGGCAGATCAGTTGTGGCTTCTGGACCGCCGCTCACCGTGGCTGCTGCCTGCCTACGCTGGCTGCTGGCCGCTCACGCTGGCTGCTGGCTACACACAGTAGCCCATGGCAGCCCACTGCAGCAGGGGCTGCAGCCTACGCCGTCTCTGGCGACTCAGGGCAGCCCAGCTCCAGGTTGAGCTGTTGTTCAGCATCTTAGCTGTGGAGGGCAGTGTCACTGGCCCTCATATGTGGGATCCGAACCGGGGCCTTCTGGCGTCCCAAGCTAGTTCTTAACCATCGCACCACTCGGCCGGCCCTCGGCAAACTTTTGAGATGGAAGGGTCACCAGGGGTCAGCAAACTGCGGCTCACGAGCCACATGTGGCTCTGAAGTAAAATTGAAAATGAAAATAAAACTATCATAGTTTCATTTATAAAGTTTTTAAAGGATATTATTCACATAATGGTGATTATGTAAAAATATATTTATGGCTCTCGAATAAGATTTAAATTGTGAGGGACAGGATTGGCTCTTCCAGGGATGGCAAACTTTTGAGACGGAATGTATCCAAAGAGCCGCATGTGGCTCGCGAGCCGCAGTTTGCCAATCCCTGCCTTAGGGTTTTAGAGAATTCTCTCTTTAAAATAAACATAAGCTTATAGCTCCTTTGGTGGCAGAGAACAAATTAACTCTCTGATCCTAATAACCTGAGGACAGGGGTCTTAAAAGAAAGCTATTATTTCTTTGACTAAAAGGTCTGTTTTGATAGTTACTGTTTATTTTTTTCTCCTTAACAGATTCAGGCAAGAGAAGGGTGAGGATTTAAAATTCTGGTTAGAAATCATCTCCCTGTTGTAATGTCTTCTCAAGACACCTTTCCGTGTAGCTGCTGCTTTCACCTGAATGTGCCAGCCCATTGTTGGGAAGAGACCAACACTTAAAGATTAGTTTATGTTAACACTTTGCAGTTCCACTGGGGAATGTTTTGACTTCTGACTAAATACAGATTCCACATTTGGCTTGTAAATGTACTGAATGCCTGTGACCCCTTTAGAGAGAGAGACAAGGGTAATTGTGGAAATAGAGAAAAACTTGAGACCCACTGAGAAATTCTCAAATGCTGTTAGGCTGTCTCAATCATTAAAAAAAAAAAAAGTTACAATTCACCCTTTTATTGGAGTCATGAATGAAACTGTCCAGTTACTTTAAATTCTTCATACTATATTTTATACTTTTCAGATTGCATATTAAAATTACAATTCTCTTGGGGAAAAAACCCTAAATCTCCAGGTCAACGTCTATAAATAGAAACACCTTACACCCATGCAGCAATTTACAAAGATTTCTCACCTGTGATAAATGCTCACAGCAGCCCAGTGAGGCAGGTATTAACCCCACCGATCCCTGTTTTGCGGACAAAGAGTGGCTGTGATTTGCTTACTATCAGAGCTAAGACCCCAAACTAGAACTTCCCTACGTTAATCCCAGTGATCTTTCCTACTACAGCTGTCAGAGATGTCATTTTATAGCTGGATTATGCATTAAAATTTCATAAAGTAAAAAATAAGTTAGAAAAAACTTTTAATGAAATTAAGAACTTGTGGGTTTTTATATTATTTTTTTATTTAAGTATATAAGTATAGTAGGTATACAATCTTATATTGGTTATATTAATTTCAGGTGTACAATATAGTGATTTGACATTTTTATACCTTATAATGTGATCTAATTCTAGTAATCGTCTGTCACTGTGCAAACTTATCACAATATTATTGACTATATTCCCCATTCCCATTTTCACCCATCCCTCTACCCATTTCCTTCTGGTAACCATCCCTTTGGTCTCTGTTTCTATTAGTCTATTTTTATTTTGTTGTTTTTTGTTCAGATTCCATATAAGTGAAACCATATGGTATTTGTCTTTTCTCTGCCTGACTTATTTCACTTAACCTAATACTATCTAGGTTCATCCGTCCATGTTGTTGCAAATGGCAAGATTTCATTTTTAAAATTAAATGCTTTTGATAAAATATGTTGTTCTCAAAACAGTCATGAATGTGTCACATCCCCGGCTTGGATTTTCATCTACAGTGGAGAGCAAAGGAAAGCCATATGTTTCAGATGGAAGGGCTGATAAACCTCTTATAATTGCTATTTGGTCTTTACCCTTTGCCTTGCTGTAAGCAGTATCTTTCTCTTGTTGTTTTCGTTTGTTTGTTTATTTAAGGAGGGCACAGCTCACAGTGGCCCATGTGGGGATCTATCTGGCAACCTTGGTGTTATTAGCACCAAGCTCTAACCAACTGAGCTAACCAGCCGGGAACCCCTCTCTTGTTCTTACTTCTGTGATAACCTACTTTCAAAGGCTCTTCCCACTGACCCCCTCCCTGCAATATAAAATTTTCCAATAAAGAAGTAGCTCAAATCTGAGATAGAGAATGGGCTAACAAGTTTAGAACAGTGGCTTGGTAGAGGACCTTCCGGAAGGAACTATTTGTTATAGGCCTCGTTATTATTGGCTGAAGACTTCCATCCCTCTCACCATAATGTGAGAAAATAAGGTTAATAGGTCAACTTACTCTCGGGTATCTCCAGTTTATTCTTTCATTAAAGTAAAAATGCTATCTTCTGTTGTGGGGTGTCTGTTATCCCGAGATAATCAACAAAAACATTAATATTAAATATGTGCTGACAATTTGAGAGAAAATACTAAAGAGAAGGTTGAAAATGATACAAATTATTAGAGTCTTCAGTGCAAGGAACACTTAAGATTTGTGATCGGGGAGGCTTGTGAGTAATTTAGTGGTTAGGCTGTGTTAGGCTTCTGTGGATTAAATCAAAGCGGATGTGCAGAGATTTTACCTAGAACAGGGAGGCGACTGGCAGCTAATACCTCACTAGTATTTCCCCTGAAGCTTTTCTCTGGATAGGAGCAACATAGCATGTTCACAATCTTGTAAGTAAGAGACCCTGCCAAATGATCCTTAATTACCAGAGAGATCTGCAAATCTGTGCCCCTCAGTTTTTAATAGCGAAAGATGTAATTCTGGGCAATCTGATTTAAATGGTTTAGTTTCATTGTAACCCAAATTATATGGAGAATTTTATGATTTTGATAGAGATTTTGCTTTGAGAAGCCATTTTTAAAATATGGAATAATGAGTTGTCATGGAGATGGAATAAAATTGAGTATTTGTCCTAGTCCTAATCAACAGCATTTTGACCCAGAAGAAGCCAGCCATTTTTGTATGGGCCATTTCTTGTTAAGTTTTCAAGTGCTTTTCAGGCTTTGTCTAATAGCATTATTTTGAAAAAGGAGCATAATAAGAGTAGAAGGTGTGGCATTTAATAATTACATTTGAAAAACTTCATGGAAATACTGATTTTTTAAAATAATGTTTAGGACAAACTCCTCAGGAGTCAGTAACACCAATGCAGCTTCTAACTAAGTTAATGATAGAACTGGCTATCCTTCCTGTTACTTAATTAGTCCAGAATTGCATGTGGTTGGGTATTTAATGTAACGGCCTCAATCAAGAATTCTTGTTCTCAAGACAGTAGAAATAGGTAAGTCTCAACTGACAAGATTGGTCAGAAGTCATGAAAAGGAATCCAAGGAAATAACATCACAGTCTTTTGCCAGACAGCTAGCATCTTTCAGGACGAATATTGGAAACAAAAGAGGAAAACTTTTGATTTTACTGCTTGTTAACTCTGCATAATACCTCTTTGAGTGTCAGATTCCTTGTCTGTAAAATGAAGGCTGCCTTTGATTATCTCTACACTCTCCTTCAGCCCCCAATTTCAAAGTTTGATAGTGAAGAAGGCTAAAGTCAGTATAAGCAGACTGAGGAGGTGAAGAAGGGACAGGCCTCTGGAGTCCAGCTGCCTCTCACCTCAGGATTAATGTCTCAGCTGCTCTTGAACTTGCAGGGGGTGTCAGCCTTTTACTTCCATTTCTTGGCCTCCGGTTTCCTACTTCCCAGTAAGCCTAGGAATTCCAAGTGTTTGCTATGACCCAAGCGCAGTTTGAGCTGCTGAGGCTACGGCAGTGAACAGGACAAACAAGGCGTCCACTCTAACCCTCTACAGACATGACCCACATAGGAGCTGGACACTGACCAATACATAAGAGAATTGTGAAGTACAGTAAGTGCTCTGAAGACAATATACCACAATAGTTTTTTGAGCCACCTGGAGGGAGGGAAAATCTTTTTCTGAGGTTTTCTATGAGTGTTTATCTTAGGTGGGGCTGCTATAACTGGTGGGAACTGGAAGTCTAAGTTTAGGGTACCAGCATGGTCAGGTTCTAATGAGGGCTCTTTCTGGCTTGAAGACTGCCTCCTCTCTGTGTCCTCACATGGTGGGGAGAGGGGGGATGGGAAAGAGAGAGAGAGAGAGAGAGAGAGAGAGAGAGAGAGAGAGAGAGAGAGAGAGAAACTCTTTGGTGTCTCTTTTTGTAAGGGCATCAATGCCATCATGAGAGCCCCACCCTCATGACCTTGTCTAAAGCTGATTATCTCCCGAAGTCCACATATCCAAATACCATCACATTGGGGATAAAGCTTCCATATATGAATTTGGGAGAAAACAATTCAGTCCATAGCAAATTTGTCACAGAACCCTCAGGGATAACCAGGCAAGCAGTTTTTAGCATTCACCCAAGTTGTGGAGATGAAAATTACTGTTTATGCTGAGAAACTAGTCAAATAGGCTTTTAAAAATACATGCATGAGTTATCCGTGTAGCCCTAGAGGTGGTGATAGCTTTTTTAGAAGCTATTTTAATAATTAAGATTAACTGTAGAAACCACAGTCTATTTGTAAAGCATCCTTACAATAAGCTCATGTAGGGAATCTACTCCCGAGTGACCCAATCGGCTGTGGGTAGGCTTAGTAGGCACACTTGTTTGGGTATTAGATACGGAAGAAGCCCACCTTATGATGCACAAACTGCTGGCTTGTTTAATCTGTACTGCCTCACCAAGGATGTATGATTTGTGAAATGCCCTTTGGGTAACAGATTTTAAGAGGTGGCCTGGATATGATGGCTTGACTTAGACAAACCTGTGCACTCTGACTTTGGTCTGTCTGGCAAGCACTCCATCTCCCTTTTCAATTCCCTACCCTGAAAGTGCTCCCCTCTAGGGAGGAAGATGAATCAGTCATACATGCAACTGTTGTGCTAAATGGTTCAATAGAGGCTCAGAAATTAGAACGCAGGGAAAGGCAGGGTTGACCCTGGCTCAGTGGGGGTTGGGCAGGGTGGGTGGTGGTTGGTAAGGCAAAAACATGATACCGAGTTTTGGTAGAATCTCGGAAATTAAAATACTTCAGTGTGACTAGAAAAGAATGTGTGCAGGAAAGTTGTCTAAAATTCCGTAACAGCTTTCTGTGTTGCTCTTCTCACTGCCTTAGCATTTAGAGACAACATAATAATCTGTCTTTTTCTAGATTGCTTCCCTGGCTCAATCTACAATCTGTCTAGATTCTAGACAGTGGTCCTCAACCATATAAGGTTCAATACACCAGTTTTTAGCAACTAATTTGAAATGTTCCTTTAAAACAAAACCAGGTTAATCCTTTATTACCGTACTGTAATAAATGCTGTTGGCACCGTACTCATATCCCCTCAGTCCTTAAAATTTTGTTGCACTCCGGGCTGACTTAGAACTTCCAGCATTTGCACTTACTATCTGAAAGTATGCACGTAGCCGACTGAAGGTGCCAGAAGTAATGCGCTCTGGGAACAGCCCTCCACCAATGACTGGCAGCCCCCACTCTCTTGTCCTTTGTTCCCTATGGGCTTAAGCTCCAGTTGCCCACAGTGGTTACTCACTTGATACACCTTTTATTGTGTTTTCCCCCTGCCCTATCTTAATAGCCCACTTCTCTACTTGTGTTTCTTGGGATTACTGTTCAAACAAATCATCTCCCTAGAATCCTTGCTCTGTGTCTGATTCTGGAGGAAACCAAATTAAGATACTTATCTATACAAAACTTTAAAAAATCCATATACATAAAAGGAGAAATTAAGTAAATGTAGTTGATAAGACATTGCATGTTTCAATATGTACATATGGAAGATCACTACATATAATGAAATAATGTTTGCACCTATAAAAAATCCACCAGGGATACAGCAGCTTTGAATGCAGACACAAATACAGCCTAGTCATGGTGTGCTGTAACGACACCCTAAATACCGTGAGTAGCATTGCCATTAATGACATGATTTTCTGAAATGGTAAACAAGTTGATAAAGTCTGAGCAAAACAAAGTAAATTAATTCCTCAATTGTGCCGGTAGCATCCCAGAAAATGCAATGTATATTAAAACTACAAAAATACTTTGTATTTATATGTGAAAAAAAGTTGGGCTCGAGGCTCAGATAATTATAGAGGTGAATGGTTTTTTTTCCAGCAACATGAAAGTCCGGTGGGATACTTGAAGGTTATACAGGCCATGATTCTTCAGTGTGTAGGGCAACTTCTGGGAAACTTACTCAAAGAACAGTAGGCATATCCCCTTTGCCCTGTTTCCCTTAAGCCCTTCCCTATCCCACCAGCTGAAATGTGGATGTGATGGCTGGAACTCCAGCCACCATTTTGGAGCAGGAAGATGAGAAGCACACCACACCCTAGGGTGGTGGAGCAGTGAGGGAAAGAACCCATTCTCTGAGAACTTCATGGAGCAAGGTTGCCCTAACCCCCAGGATTGTCTCTGCCTCTGGACCTATACATGAGCAAGATATCAAAATCTACCCTGTTAAGCCACTATTATACTGGGTCTCTGTTTTTTTAAATTAAGTCTACCTAAAGCAATATAGAAAATAAACTCCAAGAGTATGCCTCAGCAGTAACCCGTAACTCTTGCAACTGTGATCAGTGCCATGAAGAACCGTAGGAAGCAAGGAGAGGGAACGGGGCACCTGTGTGCATTCAGACCAGGGAAGGCTCTTTTGAGCTCTGAACGATGGTAAAAGCAACTAGGTAAGAGGTGGGAAATAAATAAATATAGCACTACCACTTGTTTAAAAAAAAAGAGAGAGAGTGTTTTATGAAAAAGTAGTTTTCCCTTTCACAGAGCTAGGAATGGTTAATTTAGAGAGTAAGCACCACGGTGCAAGAATTCATTTGATGTGGATCTCAGTGTGTAGCTCAGTGCCTGACTTGCTCAGTAAGTATTGTTGAAAATATATTTCAATGTGCTGAGAGCTGCATGGCCAGTATGATTGAGTGATCTATGTGCTGTCTATTGATCTGCTCCTTAGCTCTGATTCTTTCTGGAAGCTCGGGCAGAGAGGATGATACAGTCAGACAAAGGAGCGGGTCTGCCAGACGGGAAAGGCATGAAGCAGTCTACGGCATCCTATCCAGAGAAGGGTATGTGGCGCCAGGTTTCTTTGTCTAGACAAGAAAGTTCTGATACGAGTAATATCATTCTGAATCTGTGATCCAATGAATGGGCATAAATTCTGATAGATTCACTGTGATTTCTATGAGGAACTTGTCAAACACTTTGAGGGTCCTACTATATCTATCAGAGATAAGTCTAAGCAATTTTCAAGGCAGGAAGGAAAGAAATTGACACAATGAATTCAGAGCCTTTGTGTTTTCCTGCCCCACAATGTTTTAATTAAACTTAGCACTTCATAACTTGTTCACATTCAAAATATCAATGCAGCAAATAGAATTTCTATGAAAACACTTGTAAAAAACATCAAGCATTTACTAAAATCCGTTCAATTGCTTTAATCAGTGGAATCCTGAGATTTATATTAAAAACTTACTAAGAGTTAGAATTTTTCAATAACACTTTCAATAAGAATTTTCAGAAAAGGTAAAGACAAACGACTCTCTGTTTGAATTAGAGAAGGAGGATCCAGAAAACAACTAGATAATTTTGGAATAAGCCGAAGGCTGGTAAGATTGAGGAGGGGAAAGCAGTAATGGTTGCATAATATCTTACATCTGTATGCTATGACCTATTATGTCACCTAATGTTATGGGAAAGCTAGTGTAGTCTCAATTTGCCACAAGGAAAATGGGTTTCAGAGAGGTGAGTGACTTTTTTGAAGTTCACAGGTAAGTGATAGATTAGGGTTTAAATCCAGTGTCATCTCCGCTGCTCATGAGCCCCTGAGGCACATCCCAGATGACTTGTCTGTCACATGCATACCCGCCTTTCCTTCCACCCCCCACCTGACACCCTGTCCCTGCCATCTCTCTTTGCTAGGTCTCTCCCAAATCCTGAGGCTTGTGCTGCAAGAGCTGAATCTGTTCTACAGCCGGGACATGAATGGAGTGTGCCTCCTGTACGATCTTCTCCACTCCCCGTGGCTGCAGGCTCTGCTAAAGGTGAGTGCCCTGGTGCTTAGAAGACTTTGCTTACTGTGGGAGCAGCAAATACTTACCCAACATTGTGCTCGTCAGCTGGCAGGAAATTTCAACTTGGAAAAAGTTCTTAGAGGACAATTCTCAGAGAAGAGCTACACAAACCTCTTAGCTTAGGAAGTAATTAAGGTAGGTGCCAGAGAATATGGGAGCTCCTTTCTTTCCTCCTGAGGCCCCTGGGATCACAAAGCCACCAAAGCAAATGGCCATGGGCAGCACCCTTCCCAGTCATCTACAACCCTTTGTTCTTGAAGCCAGCTCAGGACAAATAAAAGAGCTTCTAAAGAATGATTCCTCTTTGTTTTTCAAAATCAGGAAATGAGGTATCTACAGTTCTGTTTAGTAATCTTAAATGTTTCTTACCCTGGAGATTTTTTCTTGTTAAATAAAAATTCGGCTGAAATTTCACACAAGATACAATAGCATCTACTATCTGACTATAATCTTGTTCCTCTGAACAAATGTTATTATTAAGAATCTTTTGAAGTTATTTTTTGGGATGTGGGTGTTTTCTTCACTTAAGTGTGAAATGTGGTCAGCCTTGTGATGCATGTTAATATTATTTTCTTTAAAATAAGAGAAAAGTAGCAACTTGTTTAGCATGAGCAGAGAAGCATTCCTCACAGCACTTGTTTTAAAACACCTGATTTCTTTATTCATTTATCCATCAATGAACACTTAGGTTGTTTCCATATCTTTGGCTATTGTGAATAATACTGCAATGGACACAGGGGTGCAGACATCTCTTTGAGACAATGATTTCATTTCCTTCGGATATATACCCAGAAGTGGGATATACAAAGGAGTATTATTCAGCAGTAAAAAGGAAGGAAATCCTCCCTTTTGCCACCACGTGGATGGGCTTTGAAGGCGTTATGCTACGTGAAATAAGTCATACAGAGAAACGTAAATGCTGTATGTTCTCACTTACATGTGGAATGTAAAAAAGCTTGGAATTCTTAGAAACAGAGAGTAGAATGGTGGTTGCCAGGGCTGAGGTTAGGGGAAATGGGGAGATGTTGGTCGATGGGTAAAAGCTTCCAGTTATAAGATGAATAAGTTCCGGGGATCTTATACAGCATGGTGACTATAAGTGCCTTGCCCTTGCTCACTACTGGAGGCTGTCTGTGCTTTGCACTCCCAGCATCAATTCATCAGCCTTACTTCCAGGGAAACTTGAACTTGACACTGAGGTAAAGGAGGGAAGTGCCGTCATCCCAGATCTGGATGGAGGAAGGCTGGGCTGAGCTGGTCTCTTGGGTCTTATTTCTGGATGCATGAGAGAAACTATACTCATAAAATAACATTAAAGGGCTGCACTGAGGAGCTAGGCAGGCTTTGATGTACTTGGCCCAACCCTAGATCTGGGTGTGGGAAAAAATTCCCAATGGTCAGCGGAGACAAAGTGGAAATTTTTATACATGAACTTGTAGTGGAGAATTCAAGGAGGAAAGGAAACCAACAAAAGATAAGAGCAGAATACAAATAAGAATAAAGTGTGCCCGGCTTTTTATTCAGATCCTTTGGTCAACCCTGATCCTAGAGTTCATGATCAGCTCAGCTACCCAGCCAAGGTCCTTGCAGGTCTCTGGCCCCAAATCCCTATGGGTCTCAGCCCTGGAAACCCCACTCTTACTTTGTTTAACAAAAGTTGAAGTTTGAATTTTGTTTATTTATGAAATTAGTTGGGGAAGATCAATTTCCAGTGGCATCCAATCAGTAATTAAGTCTATGAAGCATTAGAAGCACCAAACTGAGCTCATTTCTCTTTGACAACTAGACACACCTGCTAAAGGCCGATGCTCATGCTGCTCAGCTGCTTGTGCCATTGCCCGAGCTGTTTCTTCCCTTGGAGAGCCTTGAATCCCAAGTGTTCACCGTCATGTAATCAGCATGTCCTTCTCACACCATTGCCCTTCTGCAGGTTTATGACTGCCTCCAGGAATTTCAGGAAAGGAAACTTGTTCCTGCCACACCCCACGCACAGATGTTATCCTATGAGGTGAAGCATTTTTTAATCCGCAGACTAGTAGAGCTTGAATGTGATGCCATTTTACTTACTGTGCTAGTTTAAATGAATTAAAAGCTCTAACGGAAAAGTTTGATTGATGATTGTGTGTCTAATAAGTGTTTGTAATTGAGCTTTAATAAAAGGAAGAAAATTGGCCTGCTATCTCCCCTAAATGAAAACAAACAAAAAATAGCAGGTTTAATGTGTATCCATTTCTCTCTTTTTTCTCCTAAGTGGTGGATTCAATTTATCTATGTAAACTGGGTAATGTTACAATAATGATTCCACAGTTTATAACTCTGGCTCGACTCTTTTCCTGAACTATAGACTCATATCCAACTGCTTCCTCCCCACCTACTCAGATATCTCATGGACCCTCAAACTTAACATGTCCCAAACTGAGCTCCTGATCGTCTCTGTCCCCAAAGCCACTCCCCTCCCAGCCTTTTCTATCTCAGTAATGATCTCTTTGTTCTTGTAGTGCTCAGGTAAAAAATCTTTGGGGTAATCTATGACTTTCTCTTTCTCTCAGACCTCATATCCAATCTGATGGCAGATCCTGTCACCTCTAATTTTAAAATATAACAGTGATTTCACCACCTCCACTATGCCATCTAATATAGGCCATCGTCATCTCTTATGTAGATAATTGCAGTATAGCCTCCTTCCTGGTCTTCTACTTCTACTCTTGTCCCTGTGGTCTATTCCCAACACAGCAGCCAAAGAGATTCTCTTTAAAGGCGAATCAAATCATGTTACTTCTCTGCTCAAACCCTTCCAATGACTTCCCATCTCAGAGTGAACATCAAAGTTTTTACATAGCCAAACAGAATGTAGCCCCCGTTACCTCTTTGACATCTCACTCACTGCGCTCCCCCTTGTTCACTCTGCTCCAGCCAGATTCACCCCTTGCGATTATTTGAATCAGACATGCTCCTGCCACAGGCCCTTTGCACTGGCTATTCCCTATGTCAGTAATGCTCTTGCCTGTATGTCTGTGATTTGCTTCCTCATCTCCTTCCAGTCTCCATTCAAATGTCACTTTCACACTGAGGCTTTCCTTGGTCATCCTATCTAAGATTGCATTTCCCTCAGAGCACTCCCTATCTGCCTTCCTTGTCTTATTTTTCTTCTTAGCTCTTCTCACCATCAAATAAAACTATTTCTTTTACTTACATATTTTATTTATTGTCTGTGTTTTCTCACTAGAATGTAAACTCTGTGAGAATGGGGATGATTTTTGTCTGCCTAATTTACTGCTGTAGTTCCATCTCTCAAAACAGTGCCTAACACACAGTAGCTGTTCAATAAATATTTGTTGAATGGATGAATAAATGTAATCCATTTTATCATTATTTATTGCTCAAACCATATTAAAAGAAATAGAAGGACAAAAGAAGAAGAAAAACTCTACCCTCAATTCCAATAATCAACAACTCAAATTGTTCTCACATGTACCCAGAAAACACACACACGATATTTTGTTCTGTTGCAATCCTAGTGAATGGAGGTAAAGCTTAGCAAACTGCTTGCTTTCATTTGCCTGTGTATAATGATACTCGACTGCTAAAGATTCGCAGGGCTGATTAAAGTTTTGAAAGGTCTTATGTCCTATCAGAAATCAAGTTTACACCTAAACTACAGCAAAGAGATCAGAGTTTATTCTGTTTAGCACTTTCCCATTACAACAAATATTAAAATTGATAATCAAATGATAAGCCCTAAAATATAAATTGCTATTCCCATTTTCCAGTTGAAGACTGGCACATCCTGTGAGATTAAGCCACCCAAACTCTTCAGGTATTTGAGCCTGTACCTGGAGAACTCAGATACCTTAACCTGCCTATAAAGCATTCACATTAGCAAACAGCCACGTTAGAGCCACCAGAGGGAAATTGCCTTGGTACAAACAATTTAGAAGAAATTGCCTTCCTTTAAGCTTGTGATGTGCCAGGACTGGGGCATTGGGCTTTAGATCTACCCCAAATCTTGGGCTGTACATGGTATAGTAAAGTTCAATGCATAAGAAAGGATCCTAGGCCTTGAATATAAAGATGAAAAAGAAGACTTCAATAACCGTGTTCTTAGGTCAATATCATGCTACTTAACATATCTGTTTCCCAGCCTGGGCGAGGTTAACTAGGTGATAAAATTTTTTTTTAATTTCACAAGGTATCTTTTTTCACCAACCAGGTAGTGGAGATATTACATGCGACCTCTAGCTCTCCTGAGATTCAAGAGCTGACACAAATCCTTCAGGCTCCACATTTTAAGGCAAGTGCTTGCTAAAATAGACAAGATATGCCTATCTGGCACATAGACAAAATGGGGAAGAAGAACGGTGATAGAAAATGTGCTCTCTGAATAGATGCTTGATTACTGTACATGGGTGACCAACAGTTTGTACTGAAAAATGTGGGACTCAGATGTGACTGGCTCACTGTTGTCAGTCCCGGAGTTGAGCCTGATATATTTATGAGAAGACATCCAGAACTTTCCATGGTGTTTTATTTACCCCCTGCAAAGCCATTATCCCTCTAAAATTCTGGGGCAATCAGGGTAGCATCCTTCCTTTCCATTTGGGACTATTTTAAGCTTTGGATAAAGTGTGTGAAGGTATTTGGAAAATATAGTATAATGATGATTAGCTCTGTGGGAGATGGTGGTATATGAAGAATATTTGATGGTAGAACCGAAGCCTACCTTTTAGTACTTACAGATTTTGAGATTATTCTACCAACAAATTAGAACTTTAAGAGAATGTCTGCATTTGGGACAATAGAATTTATGAGTCAAAATTTTTAGTTCACAAGATATCCCAAGAGAATTTTCTCTGAGTTCCAATGAAGACCTGCCCACCAGTCTCAGGCAGGGCTATAGAATGACTGCTTTCCCATCTCATGAAATGAAAAATTTAATGCAATGGGTCATTAGTAGGAACTCTTTGATCATATCTTAAACCAGGTGGGCCCTTGGGTGTCACTGGCAAATGAAACCAGCAAGATGTTTAGACTACTGCCTCCGTTTTCTGCCTCAATTAGGGAAAAAAATATTGGAAAAGTTGTTTTTTAATTTAAGATCATAGAAGCACTATGGATTACATGGGTTTCCAGGAAACGAAAAAGTGACAGAATAATACATTTTAGCAGAAATCCAAGAATATATTATGTATTGCTTAACCCTTCTGTGTCTCATTTCTTTATCTGTAAAATGGGTTCAATAAATGTACCGCCTCATAGAGTTATCCTGAATATGGAGTTAATCCACATAAAATGCCTAAAACTGTGCCTGGCATGTATGTGGTGGTGGTGGTTGTATGTGTTACATAATATGGAGTCACTATCTTCTAGATGGGAGTGTCCTATGTGTGACATTTGTTCACCTTTCCCTTCTCTGTTCCCAGGCCTTACTCAGCGCCCATGACACTGTAGCTCAGAAAGATTTTGAACCCCTTCTCCCCCCACTGCCAGACAATATCCCCGAGAGTGAGGAAGCAATGAGGATTGTTTGTTTGGTGAAAAACCAACAGCCCCTGGTAAGGAAATTGTTTTATCTTTTCATTTAGAAATACACCAGGGTTAATTGTGAACTATGTTATCTCTAGTAGTTACTTGGGTGATATTCTTGTCTGTGGTCACAGATATAGTCTGAGGCATTCAGAAAATGTGAGGGGAATTCATGATAACGATGGCTAAACTGTATCTTAACAATTTTTGCCTGTGATTTCAAATACATTACATGTTGTAATATTTTCATGAGGCAAGATTTCTGTTTAGTGTGTTTTTTTTTAAAGAGCTGTGAGAGATAAGACATATATTTTATTATTTGGCTCTCTGGCATGTACATGTATTTCACTCAATTCCAATGTATTTGCCTAATTTTTTTTTCCTCCCTTAATGGAAAGCTAAAGAAGGCATTCATTTGACTTTCTAAGAATAGTCCCTTTGACTAGGTTGTAGTTGTGGGAGCTTTCTTTATCTTTGAAAGGATCTAAATATTCTTTCATGTCTATGTTGTTAGATAGAGACCTCAGGAGTTCAAGGTTGAATGGCCTTTTCTTTTTGATGGCATGCTATGGCCCTGGCTGGGGACCATCTGAAAGACCAGAGCTACATTGAGTGAAGCCACCAGAAAAAATGGTCATGTAAGCTAAAAGAGGGGTTTCGCTCTCTCCCCAGGGAGCTACCATCAAGCGCCACGAGATGACAGGGGACATCCTGGTGGCCAGAGTCATTCACGGTGGGCTGGCTGAGAGGAGTGGTAAGCTGGAACAGCAGGGTGCAAAGTGGGGCCAGAAAAAGAGGAAACCGTTGATTGTTTAGTCTTCTTTCCAGGGAAAACCCTCTTTCCTAACTAAGGTCAGGGTTTTAATAAGTTCCATTTCTTGGTTACTATGAAGACAGGAATAAATATTCCAGAGAAATCCCATTCCCCTCCTTTATCAAGTCCCTCCATTCTAGGCATCAAACTAATGTTTTCTCAGTTTACATTCTTGTGGCAACCTAACAAGTTAAGTATTATCATCCCATTTTATAGATGAGGAAACTGAGGCTTAAAGAGATTAAATAACTAACTTGCTCATGGTTACACAGTTTGAGTCGGGGTTCAAGTCCAGGTCTGCTTCACCCTATATTCCCAACTTTCGCTCTTCACTTGGCCCTTCTGCTCTCAAAAAAGGCATAGCTCTTCCCTACCCTGCAACACCTTTTGCTGCCCCTTTCTACCAGAGAACAAGGTGTCCTTCCTTTCACTGCAGAGCTTCTGAAAGGAGCAGCTCTGTCCCTGCTGCCCCAGTCCTCACTCTCCACGGTCCTGGAAACCTGGCACAGAGTTTTACCCCAACGTTCTTAGAGTAATTCCCCCAAGGATTTCCTAGTTGCTAAATCTATTGGCCCTTCTTCAGCCTCACTTTTATTTCTGCTCTTCCAGCACAGCTGATGTTACTGACCATACCTTTCCTGAAATTTTCGTCACCCTTGGTTTCTGGTCCATGACATCCTCCTGCGTCTTGTCGACTCACCTTGACAGTTCCGCTCTTCTACCTCATACTTCTCAAGGCTTAATCTTAACCCCCAAGTTTCTCCACAGTTTCTCTTTGGAAGTATGCCTCATGACTCTGACATCTTTATTTTTAGTGTTATCTTCTTACCAATGTTCTTGTTCCATGTTACAACATCAGGTTAGCAAAAATAAAAACATCACCATCAGTTAATACCCAGTGTTGGTGAAAAGGTGGAAAATGCATTTCTCATGCACTTTGGTGGTGGCGTAAATTGGAATAAGGAGTTTGCTTTATTATTGTTGTTGTTGTCATTATTATTTCACAATAAATTTTAAAATGTTTGAGCATTCCTGGGTTACTGAGTTTGCTAAATAGCTTTGGGATAGCTACCTCTATTTTTTTGCTCATTTATTTGTACCCTTCTTTGTTTTGTGTTCCTGTTTGCCTAGGGTTGTTATATGCTGGAGACAAACTAGTGGAAGTGAATGGAGTTTCAGTTGAGGGACTGGACCCCGAGCAAGTGATCCACATCCTGGTAACAGTCTCCTCTTTGCCTTCTTCTTGACTCAGTGAAGGGCAAGGCTGAACTGAGCCCGTCCAGCCCACGGTGTATGCACTGTAATGTGAGGGGGACTTGGTCCCTCTCTGCAGCTTTCTCTGTCCAGGTCCCTGATCTTGTCTGTTTCTGTGTGGCCGTCCCCCATCCCCATCACCCCCAGAAATCTAGCCCCTGCTGGGAGACTTCCCTTCCCGAGCTGCTCTTTCTGCCTCAGGAATACTGCCAGGCTCTCTGGTTGCTCCACTGGAAACTGAGCCGAGGTGGGCAGAGTGAGGCTGTGGAGGAGAGTCTGAACCTGAGCAAACCACCTCTTGTTCCCCGAACATTTCTGTACAGCTGAACTCTGCTTAACAGCCTCCTTGAGGTAGTTTAGGAAAGAAGTCACCAGAGGGCAGGATATGGGGAGGGAGACATCCTTGCTGGACCTGCCACTGGCCTTGGTGGTTTGAACTGGGGTTTTTCTGACCTGATTATATGAGCCTTTGATCTCTGTTAGGTCCCCATTCTCATCCTTCAAAACATTACCTGACTCACGCAGTCCAGCTGTCAATAGCATAGCAGCATGCCCATCTTCCACCGCAGGCACACCCCAAGTGTGGAGCCTGATATGCTATACAGTCAATTACTGTATATCATGTAGACCAGTGGTTCTCAAACTGAGTCTTAGGGCAACTCTAGATTTTCATATGCCTCTGAGACTCAGATGAGAGGTGGTATTATAAGGCATACACCAAACACCTAAATATTTTGCCAACCGCTGCTATAAGGTTCTGTGTGGTATATAAGATACTACAAAGGGAGCTTAGAGTACTGTTACTCACAGACACACATATTTCCACCTCAGTCCTTCTGGTGCCAGCTATGGAGTCGCCCGAACAACGGGATTGTGATATTCCTAAGAGTGAGAATAAGGTTTTGTTCATCTCTGGGTCTCCAATGTCTGTCACAGTGTGTGAAACAGGAGGAATCTTACCTCCCCCATCAGGCTGAGAGTTCCTCTGTCTCCTCCATATATTGGGGGCTCCCATTTTTCACCATTAGCTTGGAAGCTCATCAGTCCCTCCAGAAGATTTGGGAGCCCCTCATCTTCCCCATCAGCCTGGACTGTCTGGTACAGAAACAGATATTCAGGAAATAATTACTGACTGAGGTATAAGGAAGGAAAGTCAGACCGAGAGCTCATCTCCTTCCCCAATGCCTGTGGGAAGAAGACCTTGTTGAGTGGGGTGGGCTTGGTGGCAGCAAGACAGAGGGTCTCTGGGAGAGGCCAGGCTTTAGTGCGGGTTTTAGCAGACCAGACTCTGGAACGCCACAGCAGGGCAGAAGCGGAGCTAAATTTCTTCTCCATTTCCACTTCTGGGTGGTGATACTCAGCTGTTGCACCCTTGTAAACGTCCCAGTGGAGATGTCACACTGAGTTGTGACTCCACGTGCTGATGAGCCCCAGTAACCCAATGAGCTCTGTGATTTCTCATTTTTGCCTCTTTGATGTTTTTTAGGCCATGTCTCGGGGCACTATTATGTTCAAGGTGGTTCCAGTTTCTGACCCTCCTGTTAATAGCCAGAAGATGGTAAGAATTTACTGAGCCTTCATGCTCACACACAGTGAATCCTCAAATAACAATAACAGTGACTAAATATGTTGTGTTATACTACTGTTCTCTGTAATGTGTTGAATATTTGTTCAATACTCTATTGTATATTTTTTAATACTGATGACATGAGAGGCAAATGAGTAAGTGGATACAATAAAAGGAGATGGGGTACCAAGAAGTTAAGAAGTAACATCAAGATGGTGAACAGTTGAGTTAAAAACTTCTCAGAGCTAAGAGATTCTTTTTCTTTTTCAAAGTTTTTTTTTTGCAACATTTAGACTCAGTTCAAGAGGCAAGTTCTCCTTTACCGTGAGGATGAAGAGGAAAGATATGAACAATAGATGGAGGGGGAGAAATGATTTTAAGCCTTGATTACCCATAGGCAAGGGTTCTTCTGATGGTGCCTTTATGCACCTACTGTCAGGTGTACATTCGTGCCATGACCGAGTACTGGCCCCAGGAGGATCCCACCATCCCCTGCGCAGATGCCGGGTTGCCCTTCCAGAAGGGGGACGTCCTCCAGATTGTGGACCAGAATGATGCCCTCTGGTGGCAAGCCCGGAAAATCTCAGACCTTGGTACCTGTGCTGGCCTAATCCCTTCTAACCACCTTCTAAAGAGGTAAGAAAAAGTTATCACTCCTGGACTCACGACTGAGCCATCAGGAAATAAAATGTTTTCTCAGGCTTCTATTATTGCAGTTAAGATGAGATGAAGAGACATGAGACAGGCAGATGGACGAACACACACACTGGTTTATAAATCCAAATGTCAACTTGTCCATATGCCCTAAGCATCTTAAATACCAAGGGGATTGGAATAATCACATCAGCTAGAGAAGAGGGAAAACACATGGGAAATGAAATTAAACTTAAAACTGTAGTCCTGATTCCCTGTATTCATTTTTAAAGGCTGAGTTGAAAACTCAGTTACTGAATCTCAATCTATCACCCTCACTTTTGTGCTACTGAAGTCCAAGGGAGTGAGTCAAGATAGAAAGAAGATAGAAAGAGGTCCAAGGCTCAGCCAATGTTAAGAGATCAAGAAGAAAAGGAACCAGCAAAGGACACTAGGAAAAAAAGGGAGGTCACTGGTGATCCTGATAAAAGGATTTTTAGTGGAGGGGTGGGGCCAAAATCCTAGTAGAGTGAGATTTGAAGAAATTAATGACAATGAGTGTGGAAAATTTTTTGAGATATTTTGTTATAAAGCAGAGCAGAAAAATGGAGAAATAGCGAGAGGGGAAAGTAGAGTGGTATAAGAATTTTTTGTTTGTTTTTTAGATGGGGTAAATAATGCTAGTGAGAATAATCCAGC